TCCTCCTGGACAGTGTTATCTCTGAGTCATGTGGCCAGGCATTGATGGGGCCATTAACAGCAGATAAGGAAAACTGCCCTAAGGCAACTCCTACTTAGATGGTAATTGGAAAACGTTTTTTTTTTAATCTTGGACAACAGATAAATGAAATGAAGGGGAAGGACCAGATGTGAAGCTAAAGTAGTTTTCCTGGTACCACAAGACCAGAACAAACAGCTTGTCTGTATACATAGAGCAAGAAAGACAAATTAGAGACTAGAAAATAGAAACGGATGAACTGAAAAATCAAAAGAATAAGAAAATTAATTCAGTATCATGTGTAATAAAATGAGGAAGTGAACCAGCAAAAAACCTAAAGAAATGGAAAATAGAGGAAAAAAACCTAATTAAGCTGAGTACAATAAATAAGACAAAGAAAGCCTAAAAACAGCAAGAGGGATTACACACAATTTATTAATTCAACTACATCACCTCTTAATGTTACAAGTCAATAAAATACTGGATGTTATATTCTTTTCATTTTCAGTGGTCTTTGGGATCACTGCACCATCAAACATTTCATGCTGACTTCCAAACAGTATTTGTGTTTAGCCTAGAAAACACTATGGTTAAAAGGCTGAAGACATAGAGAATCATAGAATCAGTTAGGTTGGAAAAGATCTTTAAGACAGGGGAGTCTGTATCTCAAAATTGTTGAAGCATGATTTACACATTCAAATGCAGCCCTTGAAGTATGTTATCACCCTGAACATTTGCAAAAATGTGCCTTGAATTCTTGCTTTAAAAATCTTTTTTATCTTTTCCAAAGTAGTGCAGTCTAGGAATCACCTAGTAAGATGGATCAAAAGCTGGAGCAATACTCTAAAATTTTGTCACATCCTTCTCATGTGCCACTTCAGTTGTAGCTACCATTCAACCTACAAACAAGGATAAGGTTACCACTCCCTGCTTTTGCCATACAGTCTGGTCCCACCCAAAGCAGATAATAAGGTCAGGATTTGATTTCTGCCTATATGTGAACTGGTTTTGGATCATCCTTATTCCCGTGACTAATGCAACCACCTCTCAAGAAAATAGTAACATCTCATTTAAATAGTAAAATCCTAACAGAGAGCACAGAGCCCACCATACACCTCTGCAGCTCTTTGAAGTATGCACACTTTTACAGAGTGCACATATGCAAACACAATTTTGATTCCCTCACTGTGCAGAAAGAATCTTCTCCTTGACTTTAAATGCCCTTGTAATAGACCATGTCTTTTAATGAATAATAATGGCAACAAGTTAAATAACTAGTACTTCAGTGTGATTAAGGAAGTTAATTGCAAAGCTAGTGGTTGGTTTATTGAATCATATAAGCATTCATTCCATTGGCTTTCACAAGAAATTCAGGCTTCCTGTGGCTTCCTGATCAGTTTAAGCTGTTCTATGGCTAGAGTGAGCAAAGGAAGTCATGTCATTCCTCACCCATGTGTTTTCACAGCTCTCACTGCAGTGACTATCAACTGCAAGGCAGCATGGTACCAGAATAATTCATTTCACCATGCAGTTCACATATGGCAGTTGCTACACTACGAAGGAGGTGCAGAAATGCACTGTTGAGGATGGTGCTGCTCTTGTGGCAGCAGACCTGAGTTTCAACAACTTCAGCCAAGAGAAAAACAGCAAAGCAGGGAAGAATGGTATCAACAGGAGTAGACAAAATACTTTTTCACTTACCTGCTCTGTAAAGAGTGTCAAAAATGCTTCCTCTAATTCCAATGTAAAACTCACGACCACAGACCTGAAGAAATAGGCACAATTTTCACATGCTGAAATGAGAAAAGGAAAAAAAGTCTCTTAAATATAGTCATTCATTCAAAATATGCAGCACCAAATGAAACTGTTAAGTACAAAATATATACAATGGTCAAAAGCACGAAAACCAAAAGCAGAAGTGCAGTTACATGCAATAGTTAATGAGTGCAAAAGAATTAAGAACTGCAACTTAAAAGAGCTGCAGGTGTAATTTCATGATATAACTAACTCTCATCCTCATGTTTTGACACATTAGGACAAATGAATATTCTCTAAAAGAAAGCTGACACACACTTGCATAATGCTTTTTCTCGTTTCAAGCTTGGTCTTATAAGCTCTCAGAGATAAGAATTATACCTTTGATAGCTCAACTACTTCAGGTGGCATAAAAGAAGTAGGATGGCTTTTGTGATAGTGTTGGAAACAAAGTTTTAATAAAAGGTAAAAATAAAAAAGCTCTCCACAGAGAAAAGCCGAGTCAGGGCAAGAGGCTCTTGCTCCTGTTAAACCACTTCACAAAAGTTATTTTACTTCTTTTGTTCTCTTCTTTTTCTAGGGAATTGCTTAGGCAGGACTTTTTGGCTCCAATTAGCTGTCCTTAAGTTTGAGGTGAGGTCTCCGAAGTCCTAGTCCTATAAGGTGTCTTTTAACCAAACTGAGGAGAGAAACTTGTGGGCTTTTTTCCTTTTTAAAGGGACAAAGGGTAACTTGTTTACTCCCTCAACAGAAAACAAATTCCCACACTTGTGCTTATCACTTAACACAGGATTAGTTCAGCAGAAAACCTGATAAATACTCCCTCGCAGAACCCAAATCAACTGCTTATCTCCTCAGACAGGGTACACAAAGCAGATTAATTGTCTTGACTACAGACTAAATCAAATGAACAGCAATTTGACAACTACTAGGGAAACTAGGAGATTTATTTATATTTTGCTATTTTCATGTTTCTGATTGTGGTAGATAATTTTCATTTCTGATTATATCAGGCAGTAGTAGTAAACAAGATTTAAGAATGAACAGCAAGCTCAGAAGGAGAGATAACTTCATTCATACTAGGCTATACTACATGTTTTCCACAAGCACATAACTCAAAGTGGGTTAAAAACAGGTATTTATGAAGCAACTATAGGAAAAAAAAAAATGTAATTCTATGTAGAATATAATTTTTTTAAAAGGCTTCTAAGCCAGAAATCTATGGATGATAAGAAGGAAGCGGTTGACAACTCTTTAAAAGCTTGAGCGTCATCTTCCAGAATTCCAAAGTCTTGTTACCTGAAGATTTAATCTGGTACCAGAATTACTGAATTTTATTTGAAAATAAAATACCGCTGCTGTGTTCCTGAGTTTAGTGTTCCTGAGTTCCCCCCTTACTAACCCACAAGGAGGCCACTAACCTCATCCATAAACACCCATAGGTCTAGGTACATATCTGGTTTGCTTTTCATAGCCAACAAAAAAAATTACAGTTCACACCACTCTGCTTTCTTTGACTTTTATAAGTTTAATTTGAGTCACATATTCCTGCTAAAATAATAAGCTTAAATTAAGAACCAATTTCTTTGCCATAGGACTGATTCTAATAAAAAATATTTATCTGTGTTTACTTTTTCATATTCTCACCCTTATTAAATATAAGATTTTCATCTCAATTAGCCTCGGCATTCCACAGAAAGAAATTGATGCCTCTATTTCATTTCTCTATTAAAGCAGCATGGAAGTGTAGTTTTTCTTCTTTTATTTTTTTTTTCTTTTTGACTAAGTGCCCATGAAAATAAAAAGTCACAAGACATCTTATGAAAAATTGTTTTACTTCAAGTTTACTAGGGCAGTTTTAACCAATATCTCAATAGCTTGCATTTTCAACTAGCAGTTTGGAGATCAACCAATGACATTCAATTCTCAGAAGTATTTAGCATCTTCTAACAAAAAAAGAACATTCCCAAATCACCCAAGTCCTCCTGAAGTGTCACAGGCAGCACTTAGCATCTCACAGCATACCCAAACTTGCAGCTATCACCAACCATCTGTATCTTCACTGAAACAGGCTCTACTTCAGAAAATTTCTTTAAAAACACTCAGTTGAATTACCTTTAATACGTCTATAGTCTTTGTTTCACTCTCTCAAAAGAAAGTTTAATAGGAAAGTTCTACTTTGTAATGTTAGGCTTGTACAGTTTAAGAACTACATACATTTTACCTGCATCGTTTCTACCCAAACCAGAAACAATGTCAACATTAACTTATCTTTATTAGTATTTCAGGGCAGTACACAAACTGACATATGACTCTTCTTCCCTCCTTTCTCAACTGAAATAATAAAATGCTTTTGAAAATTAAAAAAAAAATACTTAGGAAAAGGGATCATCATACTAGTTCTATGACAGCATAGGAATTATGCATTCACATTAGATAGTAATTCCACAACTTAAGGGAAAAAAAAAAAAAAACCTGTATTCTCAAATAGAACAAAGAAAAAAACAAAATTACAAGTTCCTCCACAAACAAATTTGACAAATTAATTTTAATAAATATTCTCACTCCAACGAGAACTTTCTTAATTTTCTCTTAAAGTTTTAAAGTAAATGTGAAAAAAATGCTGATCACAGCAGAATTACTCAGTATAATTTTTTTATTCAATTTTTCAAAAATATACCTCTTAAAACTATTTGCTGTTTGATTAATCAGCATTTTTAAGAGACTGTTCTCATCAACATGTCTCCCTGTAAAGGCTTCTACTACCACAGTGTGTTAAAAGATGTCACGAAGTTTTTTGAATCACAAGGAACAAAGAAGCCTTAACTTCTGTATCACAATACCTAGAGTTTAAGAACAGCAAAGCTTTTACACGTAACCTGGAGGCAGGATGCACGTTTAAGTTAGTGTAACAGTGACATCTTTGCGTGAAGCTGTAACCGCTGACTTCTGTGAACATTTCTATAGTCACCTCTGCATATGGTTACATTGAAAAAAATAAACATTAGGCATGGTTAGTTTCCTAGGACAGTTGAATTTCCCACCATGGCCAATCAAATGTTCACTTAAAAAGCAGCAAGGGAAGTTAGCAATATACACAATAAACTTGGACTTATTACTTAGTTTCAAGTTGAGAAACTATCAAGTCATACAACAGCCAGCTACCTTCACACTATGCCAGCAATGGGAGAACAATAATTCAGACTTGTGAAAAATATTTTTATCTTCCGTGTACGACAAAGCTGTAGAAACTTCATCCCTGCAACAATCTGCTGCATATTTAAGGCTTTCAGTAAGGTCTATAAAAATCCATTATATGAATAACCATTCTGATTATTGATTAACCCAGCAGAATAGATGTCAATCAGTTGGCCTCCACATATGCACTTCTACCAAGCACCAGCGAGAAGGCAAATAGCAGCGGCTCCACGTTTTCTCGGCTACAGACTCGGGGCACCAAACTTCAGCTACCACGTGAAACCGCAAATACCCAAAACCTCATCGCGATCCACCGCTAAGGATCCTGCGCGCCACAGGATTTTTTTACCACCGTAGCAGGGGTAACTCCGCGATAAAGTTGAAAGCCCGGGCAAGCGCAGGCCCGCGCGGCGGCCGCCACGGAGCGGAGCGGCGCCTCCCGCCCGGCGCATCCCGGCCCGGGCGCGGGGCCACGGCCCCCGCGGCGCCGGCGCCGGCCCTGGGGAAAAGGAGACCTCGGCCGCCCTGGGAGAAAAAGAAAGAGGAAGGGAACGGAAACGAGACCCGCACGCACTGAGTACCACAAAGTTCCCCGCGGCAGCGTCCGGCCCCTCAACTCCAGGCCGGCGACAGCCGCCGGCTTCCTCCTTCCACAAGTACCTGGCGGAGCAGCCCTCGGGAATATCCCCACCCCAAGCCCGGCCCCTCCGAAACCCGGCCCCTCTCCGACACCCACCTTTCCTCTCACTCCGCTCCCTCCGACGGGGGTGGAGAGGACCTCCCCCAGCCCCTCTCTCTCCACCCCCGCTGCTCCGGGGAAGAAGGAGCCGGGATGCCCTGGTCACCGCCCCGCCCCGCCCCGCCCCGCCCCGCCCCGCTGCAGGCGGCACCAGGTGGAACCCCGGGGGCGCTCCCCTCGGCCAGCGGCCGCCGCCCGCCCCTCAGCGCGGCCGCGGCGCGGCGGCGGAGCGCGGCCCCGGCTCGGCCCGGCGGGCGGGCGGCCCCGCCCGGAGCGGGGCGCGGCGCAGGCGCACCGAGGGCCCGCGCCCCGCCCCGGCCCCTGCCGCCGCGGCGCCTGCGCAGTGCGGCGGTGCCGCCGCTGTGGGGCGCGGTCGGGCTGTGGCCCCGGGGCGTGGGTCCCTCAGCCTCGCTTAAACTGGAAAGGACTCCGGTGTCATCGAGTCCAACTTGTGACCGAACACCTCGTCAGCTAGACCATGGCACTACATCCAGTCCTTCGCTAAACACCTCCAAGGACGGTGACCTACTACTTCCCTGGGCAGCCGTATTCCAAACTTTATTCTCCCCTTCTGTGAAAAAGTTCCTCCTAATGTCCTCCGCTGACACTTTTCCTCTTGTCGTGTTCCTGGCTGCCTGGAAGAAGAGAACAATCCTGACCTGGCCACACTCTCCTTTCAATGAGCTGTAGAGAGTGATGAGGTCTCCTCTGAGCCTCCTTTTCTCCAGGCTAAATATCCCCATCTCCCTCAGGCACTCTTCAGAAGACGTGTGCTCCAAACCTTTCCTCAGCTATGTTTGCCTTCCCTGGGTTCTCTCCAGAGCTTCAGTGTCTTTCCTGCTCAGAACTGAAAGCAGGGCTTGAGGCATGGTCTCACCAGTGCCCAGTTCAGGGGGATGGTCACTGTCCTGGTTCTCTTGGCCACACTATTGCTGGTACAAGCCAAAATGACATTGTCCTTTTTGGCCAGCTGGGCACACTACTGCCTCATGCTCTATCATCTGTCAACCAGCACCCCAGGTCCTTTTCTGCCAGTCAGCTTCCTATCCCCTCCTCCCCCAGCCTGTAGCGCTGCAAGGTTCAGGGCAGCAGCCTCAGGTCAGGGAATTTGGCATCCCTTGAGGGCCCCAGTGTCCTCCTGTCCTTTGGGTCCCACAGGGCACCTGGAGCAGCCAGGACAGAGGGAGAAAGCCAGCCACTCAGCTGGCACCACCAGATGAGATTCAGGTACCAGCCCTGACCTGGATGCTGGTTGTGCCATCCCTCCATGTGGCGCAGCCTCAGCTCTGGCTGTTACACTTTTAAAAGGTGGTCAGCCCCCATCCATGTAAAAGCTGGACGTGTAGGTTTGTAAATTCACTGAGCCATATGTTAAGGAAACTTCCCTATTTGACCAGGACGCACTCTGGCAGTCAGTCTTGCACCACCTGAGCTGGGATAAGGCCCCTTCACAGCTACATCCCCCTACTCGCAGTAACACCTGACTTCCACACCATCTCCACCCCAGGTTTCCCAGAGCAGAGTTTGAGACATCCATATCCCCTGGGTGCAATAACTAAACAACAAAGTAACAGCTCAGGCTGGTGCCTGCAAAATCCATAGGTGGGACAGAGGACGGGTGTCTGGTCTCCTGACTGGAGAGCAGAGCGGGAATGGGTGATGCTGGGCAAGGTCTGGTGACATACTCGTGTGCAGTTCAAGTGAGCTGTGTGCACCCGAGGGCAAGAGGTGCTCTGGAGATACCAGATAGTGGCATCTCTGTTTCTTGTAACTGCAAGGGATTTTGTTCCTCTGGTTATGTCCTGTGTATGGTGGACTTCCCTGAGCTAACTCCTTTTCTGGGCTATGTTGTTAAAGAAAAGTGTAGCCTTAATCAAATGGATTACAGTCACAGGACAATTCTTGGATGTCCTATGAGTCTGATAGACTTCACTCCTAAGAACAGAGGAGTATCTATAAGTTTCCTTTTCTGTTCCCCCATTAACTACAGGAACAAGACAAGTCATCATGATCAAAGAAGTACTTTGGGAAGTAGTTGTTTGAAAAAAAATGAATTTTAGTCTTAACATAAGAGTCAAAACCAAATTTTAGATATAACAGCAGACTCAGAAATTATTATATTTTAATCAGTTATTATGAGAAAAGGAAGTAAGACTATCGATGTATCTATTTTAGATATGCTAATATGAGAACATACCATACATATACACATATGAGAATATATATATTCAATATTTCCAATGTATTGGAATATACTTTATATATGTTAATGATTAAATTTATACATGTATATAAATCTAAAAATTAAGGATTTTTGAGTCCTCTGGAAGAACTTTTCTTTAGAGGTCAGATTGTGAAAAATGACATACAGTTTCATCCCTTAGCACACATGTTTCTTGTTACAAGTTAAATATACAACATAATTTAAAAATACTATAAGGGTTCTGCTGTAATTGCTCTGTACACTATAAAAATAGAAATAAGTGTGTTTTGCCAGTAATCTAGACTTTGCTGCCATTGAAGAATGCTTTTAAATTAACTTTCAACTGCAATTCACAAAGCCAATAGAAATTTTGATAGATTGTTATAATAGAAAAAGAAAATAAATCCTTTGTGATAGGGCCTGTGAGCTGGTTGCTAACACAAGTAGGGAAAAACAGAAAGGAAGAAAACTTTGATCATTCCCTTCCTGGGAGGCAAGGAGTGAAGGGGAGAGAGAGAGAGATAACGATAATGTGAAGGAAAACACTTCTAGGAAGCAAACTTGGGCTTTGGGAGTTCTATTCGTACTTCACCTGTCACACTTTTAGTGGTTTTTTGTTTGTTTTCAGTTTAGAGGTTTTGTTCATTTGTGGTTTTGTTTGTGTGTTTGTTTTTAATTGGTCCCCTTATTATATTTATTAATTTTTGCTTGCTTCTTTGATTAGTTATGTCTGTTGCTTTTTCTCTTTTTCTCATTAATTTACATTGTATTCTTCCCGAGCTATGTCAAATTCATGTTTTTTACAACTTTAGGGAAGTCTATGGAGTTGTGCTGACTATAAATTAGGTGTGTGTGATTGTATTGAATGGATGTGTTGTTTCCAGCTGCCTCTTTTATATGGATATATAAACTGACTGATGGTCTTGTTTACTTTAAAGAGGTATATAGTGTAATTTAATTAGATAGAACTTCGAGGAAGAACAGATATCTTTATGCACAGATCCAATTATAGCATCAGGGCCCGGGTGGGCAATGTTTTGTCTGCTCAGCGTACAAATACAAGTAGACAGACGCAATTAGTCAACCTGATCTATTTTAAACAAGCTATGTTTATCTGGTTTTAGCAACACCATATTTTGCTAAAAATTACGTGGTTTTGATGTTATTCTATCAAGTTTAAAGAAACTAACACTTACTGTATTTTTCTCTTATTGATACTTTTGTTGTCTGTATTGCTAACGCTTGCTTACACTACAAAAGCAAACCAAAACCACATTACCTGTTTCTGTGTTTTGAGTTGTAATTGTAATTCCATGGTTTTGAGTGTTTATGACATAAATTAATATTTGGCAGCTAAAAGGTCTTCTAAGCTTCTCTCTATTCAATGAGGACCTATTATCCATTTTATGTAGCTCGTATTTACATGGAATAATTTGATACATTATTGTTTTTCAGGTAACTCTTCTCCTAAAACCCCAGTTCTTTCTAATACGTTATGTTTATGTAACCAGATACATTATATTGTTGAGAATAATATACAGTACTACTTCTAGTAGGAACTAATTTGTTTAGTTTCCTGGGAAAAAAACAAAACAAAACAAAACAAAAAAAACTAAGAGATTTTTTAGCAGGGTAGTCATTGACTAGGTCATTTGGCTTACTCCAGCCTGACAACACAAGGCTTTCAACTAGACACTGTAGCTCAAGAAATAACAGTCCTGATTAAACCTTGCAATTCCCTGCAGTTTTACCTGCTTCTCAGCTGTTGTGGTGCAACTAAACTGCAAAGTAACTCCACAGACTGCATTTAAAAAGGTAACTCCCTCCACCTTTTTGGTTTTAGGATGAGTACAGTAGTGTAGCAGAGCAGACATCTGTAAAGAGCAGCCAAGGACTTCCATGGTCCAGCCCCTCTCAGGTTTACCGTGCACTGTACAGGCTGGCAGCTCCTGGTAGGGTATGGCTGCACCACCAAACTGCTCACTGCACTGAGAGTCAGAAATGCAAGCTGCATCTTTGACTCTGCTGATCACTTCTGGAGGGAAAACGAAAGTTGATGCTTTCTCTAACTAAATCAGTTCCTTTAAGGGAACCACTCAAAGTGACAATTACATATTGTGATTTACCATTCTGTGTCTTCCACTAAGAGGTATGATGCATTGCAGAAAACTGGGTGCAAATTTTAGCAGAATTTTACTGGCAGTGAAGAAAAAGGAGAAATTGTTTTGCTAAGGTACTAAAAGCTATATTTATCAAAAACCTGAGTTTTGACCAGACTGTAATCATATGTGGCTGTGGTTCAGCAGCAGCTATCTTTTTTGTTGTTGTTTTTGGGTTTTTTGTTGTTTTGTTTTGTTCTGTTTTTGCAGGGGTGGCAGGACAGGGGGAGGGTTTGCTGTTTATATTTCCTGAGATAAACTTGGGAAATTTCTTTTCAGGTAAACGTGAGAATGTGTTAAAATATACGTGCTCTTGCCATAGTCATACATTAAGATAGCATTAAAGAATTTAGCTATACTGTTTCACTATAAAGTCTGTAATAACCTTGTATGAGGAAAATGTTTTTTTAGTTAAGACTCATGTACTCAACTCATTTGAGACCATGTTTTATCTCCCGATTTCAGTGTAGAATCATTGTAACATCACAGTAAACCTAAATAGCATTTATTGGCAAATGTCAACAAATTAATATATGTCTGCCTCATGGAATGTACTAGCTAAATTACCAGTGCTGGAAACAACATAGCTAACCTGTTAACTATAGCCTGTTCAAATTAGTCCAGAGCTGGCAAGATCTTTGGATGCTTTAGAGGGTGGCAAAAGGTCAGGTGAAAACAACAACAGGCTTTGTCATAGTTTGGGTTTCAAAAGCATTGAAATGGTGTGTAATATTTAAGAATGGCAGAA